AGCTACGACGATTATTCTCCTTCCAATTGCCTATCTCGGAAGAGCCCACCCATTACTTTTATCATTGTCACCCCTACCTCCCTTTCACATCAACGCTGGGTAACTTACCCCCCCCTCCTTCGCTGCTCTGCCTTTCCTTGGATGTATGTGGCAACGATAGTGATGGTTTTTTTTTTTTTTTCTCGAGTGGTGGCGCTAGTACTCTTACAGGACCTCGAGAGACAAACACCTATTTAAAAAAAAAAAAAAAAAAAAAAAAAAACTCCGAAGAAAAAAGGAAAAAAAAAACCCTTACAAGGGCTCTACCCACTTCCTCTTTCAACAGGTCAGACCTGTTGTCAGGACCCCTGACAACCGACAAGGGCCTGACAAACAGACCCCTCATTTGGACTGACAAGGTCTGTTGTCAGGGCCCCTCTTACAGGAGCTCGAGAGTCCAAATTACGGGCCTGACAAACAGACCCCTAATTTCGACTGACAAGGTCTGTTCTCAGGACCCCTCACAAACCCAACACGGTTAACCAGTGGACCAAAAACTGTACAAAAAAAAAAAAAAAAAAAAAACGTACAAGCACAGACTCACAGCCACTGACACACATACCTACAACAGCTGATAATGACATCCTAACAAGTTTTTTTTTCTACCTCCCCCCCCCCCACAACAAAAAAAAGAACATTTCTCGATTAATGCGTGTCGTCCTTGCGCTGGGGTCATTTTTGCTAATTACTAGTATTTCTCTACTCTCCAATTTTTAACGGTTGCCCCAAAGGACCGAATTATTTGTTTTCTTGTTTTCTCTTCTTATTATGCGTGTCATCCTTGCGCCATGGCCCATGCTAATCTTCTCTGTATCGTTCCAATTTTAACGGACAAATCCCAACTATACTCCATTGTAGGGTAACAAATCAAACCCAATCTCTTACATCGCATGAGAGTGGTGGGGAAACGGAGCATACCAACACTCGTCATCATCATCATTATCATCATCATCATCATTATCATTATCATCATCATCATCATCATCATTATCATCATTATCATCATCATCATCATCATACACCTCCATAGCCCAAATCCTTGAACCGGGGCAGGTTGATGGGAGGAGTGTGAAGCATCTCCAGGGTGATGATAACCAGCTCCTTCACACTCAGAACCAACCACCTTTTCTTTCTTTCTCTGTACCGTCTCCGCCCGGCCCCCGCGGCCTTCAATAGAACGGATGGTCAGTACAGCTGTATCTGGACAGAAAGCCGGCCCAAATACAGCTATAATGACCGTACGTTCTATTCCGGAGGGAGGGGGGGCGTGGGAGGGGAGACGGTATCTTCTCTCTCTCTCTCTCTCTCTCTCTCTCTCTCTCTCTCTCTCTCTCTCTCTCTCTCTCTCTCCCCTCCTTCCCAGCAAACGTGGCAGCTCCTCCCTCGCCGCAACGCTCGCCGCCAAATGTGAAAAAGACAAAAAAAACTATAGCAGGTGTACCTTTCCACGTTCTGCGGGAAGATACATTATCCACTTTACACATCTGATGAGTAGTGCTACTGGTGCCCGCCAACGCATCAGCTTTCCCCCGAATAGAACGCCTCCTTCCCCCGTGTAGTTCCCCAAACCGAACCCCTCCTTGTGTCTATTATTAGCCCCCTTGTTTTTCTCTTCTTTTTCTTGTAAGCCGCCTTCAGCTTCCCGATTATATCCTTTTCCCCGGAAAAATCTCTCTCTCTCTCTCTCTCTCTCTCTCTCTCTCTCTCTCTCTCTCTCTCTCTCTCTCTCTCTCTCTGGGGAAACAAAAAAAACCTCTATCGCAGAATCCGACCTGACGCCAGAGAGAGATTCCTCTCGATACCCCCCCCCACTCTTCGCCCAGTTAACCCCCGATTAGAACGCCTCCTTCCCCCCTCTAGTTTCCCAAACCCAGCTCTCCTCTTCTCGAGTCTATTATTAGCCCCCTTCAGCCCTTTTTTTTTTTTTTTTTTTTTTTTTTTTTTAAAGGCCGTCTTCAGCCTCCTAATCATATCCTCCTCTTTTGCAGAATCCGACACCTACCGTATTCACCCATAAGTCACGGCCAGTCATTATCACTGCATCTGGACTGGAAGTTGCCCTACAAACAGCTATAACGACCAGGCGTTCTATTCGTGTGAAGACGGAAGCGACACAGAGAGAAAGAGAGAGATTCGTCTCCACCTTCCCCCCCTCACTCTTCCCCTGTAACTCGCCGAGCCCTCTATTCACCGATCGATCGACCGATCGAGACTCGGAATTACCGAGGGTTTAGGGTTTAAAAGGGGGCTCGCTCTCGCTGCCGCGGCCGACAACAGGCCAAGCATTGGTGGGTTGGTCCAATTCCCTCTTCTTCCTTCACAATGGAAGCACTCTTCCCTCTTTTTTTTTTTTTTTTTTTTTCCTTTTTTTTTTTGAACTTGAAGCACTCTTCTCTCATGGCTAAACTCTTTTCTCATCACTAAATTTACTATTATTATTTTTTTATACTTCACAAGAAGCACCTTCTCTTTTTTAACACTTGAAGCACTCTCTTCCTCCCTCCTCTTCCGCCGCCATCGCCACCGCTTCCAGGTGCATAATCAGGTCCAGATTCATTACACTTTTTTTTTTTCCACAACCCCACCCACTCCACTAGTAACCCCTCGACCACTCCGCATCCCGGCCCTGCGATTTCTTCGGGCAATCTTTTGCCCAATGCCCTCCTTCTCCACACTTAAAGCAGCCCCCTCCTCCTCCTCCTCCTCCTCCTCCTCCTGCTGCTCCTGTGTTATACCTTGTTCCTCCTCCTCCTCCTGCTGCTGCTCCTGTGTTATACCTTGTTCCTCCTCCTCCTCCTCCTCCTCCTCCTCCTCCTCCTCCTGCTGCAGCTGTGGTATACCTTGTTCCTCCCTGCACAGAACCTCGTGTGGGACAATCCCTAGACCAATGCCCTTCTTGTCCACAATTGAAGCATGCTCTAGACGACTGCTGGCTCCCACCATAGCCACCTCCATAGCCATCGCCACCTCCATAACCATCACCACCTCCATAAGCCGCATATCCCCCTCCCTTGTCAACTGGCGCCGAAGAGAAAGGCGGCGGCGGAGGGCCATACCCACCTCTTCCCCCGCCTCTAGCACCTCCCTCTCCCACCCCGACAGGCGCGTTCCCCAATCCTCCCGTGGTGGTCCCCACATCAGCCCGCCTGCTGCTGAGTGCGTCAGCTTCATCGCACCACTTGAAAAATCCGCACGGCCCTCCTTCCTCCCCCTGTCTGCGAGGGCATCTGTAAAATTTACGCCCAAAGTTCTTCTCTGTCTTCGCCGTGAAGACGGGGCACAACCCAGCCCCGCATGGACAAGGGAGGTCTGGCTCGCCATGGGCGCCGCCGTCCCCATGACCCCCTCCCCCTCCCGGCCCCCCTGCGCCTCCCCCTCCTCCCTCCCCTCCTCCCCCATCACACCACTCAAAAAAATTGCATTGCCCATCTTCTTTTGATCGAGGGCATTTGTAAAATTGTCGACCCTCGTTCTTCGGTGTATGCGCGGTGAAGACATTGCACACCCCGGCGCCACATGGACAATCTCGAGGAGGAGGTGGTGGTGGCATCCCTTCTCCCCCTCCACCTCCTCCCCCCCCCCCCCCCCCCCCCCCACCCCCCCCCCCCCCCCCCACCAGTACCAACCCTAAACTCAAGTCTAACGAGAACGGCACCCCACCCTTCAATCGCTCCCCCGCCACCCTTAAAGCCCCCCCCCCTCCCCCCCCCGCCTCCTCCCCCATCGCCCATCTTCCCCCCCCCCAAGCCCGACAAATGATAGGCGGCGGCGCCTGGTCCACCTCCCGTTTTCTTCTGGCTGCTCGCCGCCACCCATTTGGCGCTCTTGCTCCCCCTCAACGACGCTATGTAGTCCCCCTCCCCCTCCCCCTCTCCCCCCACCTGCTGCTCCCATCGATTATCTTCCTCTCTCCTGCGCTTCGCCGACGATGATGCCCAAGCTGCTGCTGCGCTATCTCCCGAACCCTGACCTCCGCCGCCACCAATTCCCTCCCGCGGAGCGGTCCCGACCTCGCTGTCGCCACGCCACGCTGAACCGTGACCTCCGCCGCCCCCTCCTCCGTCCCGCGTAGCCATCCCGACCTCGCTTTCGCGACGCCACGCTGCGCCCTGGCCTCCGCCGCCTCCGTTCCCTAGCGCGATCCCGACATCGCTATGGCGACGCCAAACTGAACCCTGACCTCCGCCGCCCCCTTCCGCTGGAGCGATCCCGACCTCGCTATGGCGACGCCAAACCTGACCGCTGCCCCCCGCCCGCTCGCCCCCAGACGTGTCCCTGGCCAATGCCGCATTCTCCCCAGTCCGGCGGAGTGACGTGTCGCGCTGCTCCTGCTCCTGGCCCCCAACTCGATCACCTCTCAACCGTTCTATCGCCCGCGCTTCCGCCATAGCCAGAGCCGACAGCAAAGCAGGATCGTTCCAGTCATCGTCGAAGCCATCACCGTCGCCGGCATTCATCACGAAGCTGTTCTTGCGATAGGCTTCACACATTTAGCTTGGGTGACCGATGATCGAGCTCTGATTGCCCGCTCACGGATGCTTTGGGGTCCAGTCTCGACAGCCTTCGTTGCTGCGTTCCCTCTTGTTCTGGCCCTCCGCACCCAACACTCCTTTTTCTCCCACCATCATCTGACCCGGAACAACTGAGCTCGGAGGCGCGGCTGGGGAGGAGGGGGGGCGGGGGGCGGGGGGCGGAGGAGGGGAAAGAAAGACACAATTGAGCTCTAATTGCTCGCTCACAACTCAGGCAGGCAGGCGCGTAGACAGAAACACAGATAGATCGAAACAAGCACAGACACAGAGAGAGAGAGAGAGAGAGAGAGAGAGAGAGAGAGAGAGAGAGAGAGATCTGCGAACGCCGCGCAAACGAAGGATCGATCTCGGGCGCCGCACGTGCAGTCCACCTGATCAATTAACCAATGGGAGTCCAGGATTTCATTTCACTCCATTATCATTAATTGCTCAGTATTTGCTTAACCTCAAACGACTTTATATTGTCGCGTGTTTCGCCATTCTTTCGTTTTACGTCTCCATTTGTGCGTGTCCTCGGCGCGCGGGAGCAGGCATAGCTACCGATAATCTCGATTTGTGTGTGTGTCCCACGGCGATAAGACGCGATTCAGCAACCTCTGATTAATGTGATAGCCAGCCTACATTATACAGCAACTAGGCCAAAAAGTCACGAACCGCATATAGCTCCTTCGATCATACAAACCGTCATCGTAGCCTTTTCTCTCTCTCTCTCTCTCTCTCTCTAAGTGCATATCCCTATGCATGCAACTCTCCTCAAAGGTTTGCGTTCTACCCCTCAAATAGCCCGTCAATCGCTGGTGTCGCTTGGGCCTGACATTTCGAGTATGCCCCTGTCAGTCGCTGTCCAACTTCTAGCGATGCCCTTCTAAGTATAGCTGCTCTAGAGCTCGTACGGAAAGTTACGATTTGCCGCTACATGTTCGCAGCCCGTCAGGGTTGCGTTTTATCCCCATGAGAATTTCAAGGTTATGAAATTTCAAGGACGGTGGTAGTTGGGGAGGGTGGGCATTTTGAGGTTTGGGGGCCTTGCAAGGCGCGGGACAGAGTAGGACAGGTAGGTGCCCATAGGAGTCCGAGGATGCCAAGGTCCTCGAGTTTTGAAGATTTCGAAAGATTTCGAAATAGAAACGGGGTGGGCCTACTTTTCTCGAATAGCAGAGCACTTCGTCTGGAACACGTACGCATTGTATTCGAATTTGGAAAAGAAACAACTCTTGTATCCCAATAGGGAAAATTTGTCTGGCGGCCCTGTAATTTCCATTTTTTGTGTCGCGCCCCTCCGACGGCCCACTTACCCTGTCGTGGCCCTGGGGCCACACTCCTGCATGCCCCTGGCGGCAAGGGGTACAACTTTTCACGGTGCCCTTACTGGACGGCCAGTCTCACTTCACCTGTGTCATATGCCCTCATGAGCGGCATACATCTTTCCATCATGCCCTCGGATTTGAAGCACGTGGTCTTTGTGGCGCTGCTGCAAAAAACGACCGTGTTCGCAGCCCGTCAGGGTTGCGTTTTATGCCCCTGAGACATTGAGACATTGAACATTTTTCGTCGTCGTCACCAAAAGGTGCGGGGTAGTTGGAAGGGTGGTGTATTTGCTGGGGGTCCAATTCGTGGGAAATAGGCAGTTCAAGGAAGTGCAGGACCGGTAGCTGCCCGTGGCATTAGGGCCTTGAAATTTCGAATCTGAAACGGCGTGGACGCTGGCCCTGTGGTGAGTTAGGGCGGGTTTTTAGGGGGGGCGCCAAACTGGAAGGCGCAGGCGGGTCCAATCTTGCAATTTTCGAGAGCCAACTTTGGCGATTTTTCATACGCAGAATAATTGGAGAAAAGATCTGAAAATTTGATATCGGGTAGGCCAGGTCGTGATCTTTCCAGGAAAAATATCAACAAAATAAAATAAAATCGTTTAGACCATGAAATAAATGTCGCGCCAATTCGTCACTTTTTCCATTTTTGGCACACGACAACTTGTGGGCCAACGGGAAAAGTACCCCTATTTCAAAGTTTTTTCACGCTCAGAAGAACTCGTAAATTGAGGCGTTTTGACAAAGTGGCGCCGCGCCTAATTTCTCTCTCTCTCTCTCTCTCTCTCTCTCTCTCTCTCTCTCTCTCTCTCTCTCT